AAGGCACTGCTAACTGAAAACTGGGCAAAACATAGGAACAGTGATCAGACTACCAAATACCAAAGATGACCCTTTAGGAGAGAAATATAGCAATTGTGGATATAACTAATTGAATAAAGACTAATAAACTCGACACAATAGGAGAATCATTTAACGTAGTATACAAGCACAAAAAACTGCACCGTTCGGGTTTAGGACTTTTGGTCGTTTGAGTACTGATTCAAAAGCCAATTTGACCATTCGGGTACTGACGTTCCGACCGACTCGACAATTTTCTGTTACTATTTTTCAGAGGTACATGAATTTTATAGCAAATTGATTTTTTTCTCCGTGAATAATATTGAGGTTTCCAAAGAATTATTTTTTGGCAATTTTACATCTGAATACAACTTTCATGACTGGAAAATTCTTACAGGTTCGGTGACTTCACGGTAATACAGAAAAGCATTAAATATTTATTAGTTTCTTTTTTCTGCCTACATTGTTGATTAAATAATAGGTCTGAAAATATTGTTATGAAGTCTATTTTCCCCTTTAGAATGCATTTCATCAGAGATGCATTTGTTTCTTCTCCCTTTGAACATCTTCTCTGAAGTTGATGTTATTTTTATTTCATTATCACTCTTTTCCCTTGCTTTATTTGTACTAACGGATTTCATTTTCTACGGTTCTATTTATTTTAATAAACTTTTTTGAATGCCCATGCGCGTGTCGATATAATTAGAAGCTATTTTTCAATGAGTGAAGGAATATAATAAATTTTCATTTCAATGGAAATCCTTCCATCTTTCACGTGCCAATTTTATTCTTCAATTATTTGCCAATATTTACACCGAACAAAAAGTTCCAAGTTTCCGGTAAAAAAAACTAGTGGTATCGAGCAAGCTAAAAATCCGGGTAATAATAGTATATTTCTAACCTAGGGAGGGAAAATAAAGGATCCTCAGCCGCCAGTGCAATTACCAGCCGAGCCGAAGGCGAGGTTGGTAAGCACGCGGCTGAGGGTCCTTTATTTTACTTCCCGTGGTTAGAACGCGATTTTCCGTCTCGGCGTAGGCACAAAGTCAAAGTTCCCTCCCGCGAAGCGGGAGGGAAATGTAACTTTGCGCCCGCCCGGACGGAAAGCAAATTTTCACTTGCTCGAGAAAAATTTGCCTCAAAATCCTAGAAAAGTCTCAGTCCTATTTTACTAAAATCTATTATAATTCTACTTGATGTAAAGAATTTTCTTTTGTTCTAAGGTAATTTTGATTTCGGAATCCTGAACTTTTGAGTTCCTGAAATGAGAACCTCGGTTCTTGAAGCAAGAACTCGGTGTTCTGTAATGAAGAACATCATTGCTCTTGAATTGATTTTTCCTGTTCTAAAATGAATCTACTCATGTTCATAAATCCTTTGTACATCAAGGTATTATAAATTACCTGACACCTTGAGTCAACGAATATTGAATTAATATTCAATCATTCCGAAATTTTATCCCTTCTGAATGTTCTGAGTTCGAGAACAGAAAATATTTACTATTTAATTCTCTCCGGGTAGTACCTTGAATTTCTTAGGATCCGTAAATTGTTTTCCGTCACTAGACACTTTTTCCTCTGTATATCAGTAACTCCACATTATGAATCGAAATAATTTCAAATTATCACATTAAATGACTTTAAATTATTAACTTTCATATTGTCTGTCATGTGTGACCAAGTGATGGCCGTTGACATGACCCCTTTGTAGTACCTACAACCTAGTTGCTGAAAAATGTTGAATATTGTACTTCATTAGTACTAAGACTCAGTCATACATGCGGACAATAGTGCAAAATACTATCGGCAACCTTTACGATCGGTACAACCCAGGAAATCAATTTAATTAATCAACAATCACCTTAAAATCTGATTCCGATTCCTCTCTGGTTACTTTGAGCTTCATGAACCCACTAATTCTCAAAGCAGATCGAACATTGTATCTGCCACCTGTCGAACACGCCTCGGCACTCTTTTTCCAGTATACGAAACATTTTCACATATAACCGTGGCAATATCCACACTCGAGTGCACTCGTTAAGCCAAGATTTGTGGCCGTTCCGGCTCATCGAAACCCATCGACGTTCGGTTACTTTTTTTTCTGTTTTCATTGGTTCTTTCCTTCCTCCGCCCATCGCCACCCGTGAATTCTCATCCGCAGTCGAAAACAAATCCACCGCGACTGGTGGAAGAGTTGGACCACCAAATGAGGACTATTATGAACATATGACATAGGGGCTTCTGAAATTACATTTCAACATTTAATTTTGAATATCTCCCATAATCATTCTTAATATAAAGAGATGCTAATACAGAGAGATGAGAAAGAAGTAAAAAATTCTTAAGTGGGCTGAAGAAATTGTCATGAATCATTCTCCCTTTCCAAACATTCTTAAAGATCGAGAGGCGTTGAATAATTTATTGAAATTAATTGGGCTATGGTGGTGTGTGGTGTCATTATTTTTATAAACGGATTTATTCCTAATTTTTTTTAAAAAACATCAAACCGTCATGATAGAAATTTTGTTCCAAGAAATTTCTATCATTAGAAATAGAAATGAAATTTCTATACAGTGAAAATTCACCCGATTAATGGCGTTAATTGCAAGCATTTTCCAATAAGTAGGGGGACTTTGGAAATTGATGTAATGAATTGAGAAACCATCACTGATGACTATGAATCAATTTGGCAATTATCTCTTTGAAAGAACAAACAAGATTGTTGAATAATTTATTGAAATTAATTGGGCAATGGTGGTGTGTGGTGTCATTATTTTTATGAACGGATTTATTCCTAATTTTTTTTCAAAAACATCAAACTGTCATGATAAAAATTTTGTTCCAAGAAATGAAGCATTTCCAAATAGTGAAAATTCACCCGATTAATCGTGTTAATTGCAATCGTTTTCCAATAAGTAGGGGGACTTTGGAAATTGATGTAATTAATTGAGGAACTATCATTGATGACTATGAATCAATTTGGCAATTATTCCTTTCAATGAACAATTAACTTCTATGATATGAAAATTCATAGTTTTAAAGGAAATCAGCAGTTTAATGGATTGAAAATTTACTCGATTAATGGCGTTAACTCCGATTGGTGAGCTGATGGAAGCTGCCCGGCCGATGACGTTCGTCCCGCGATCCGCACTAGCTCCATTGAAGCCTCACGGATCAAACCGCTGCACCGAAAGCCCTGGTAGGGGGTTTTGCTCGGGTTAGAACTAGATTAAAGCCGCATCAAAAGCCAGGATGGATGTATAATTACGGCGTCGACGCTATCAGGTTGAAAATAATAGGCGTGGTGTTCACGCGGCTCTATCTGCTCCTCTCCTCGCCCCCCCCCCTCGCGCACTCACACTCTCTCTCTCTCTCTCTCTCTCTCTCTCTCTCTCTCTCTCTCTCTCTCTCTTTCACTTACACGCACGCGCACCNCTCTCTCTCTCTCACTCTCTCTCTCTCTCTCTCTCTCTCTCTCTCTCTCTCTCTCTCTCTCTCTCTCTCTCTCTCTCTCTCTCTCTCTCTCGCTCTCTCTCTCTCTCTCTCTCTCTCTCTCTCTCTCTCTCTCTCTCTCTCTCTCTCTCTCTTTCACTTACACGCACGCGCACCCTAACGGGGTAATTAGGTTGTATCGGGTTCGTATCACACCGAAGCGCGGCTGCAAACACATTAGAATCTAATGGTACGTTATTATATTTCAACGAGACACCAATGAGGTATCCTGGAGATACCTGTTCTCTTTCAATCTCTCAGTATTATTTCTCCTCATCTATTCCACCCTTATTTGCCTCCCGTTAACGTCTGATAGTTTTATTACTGATACTTTTGACGTTTTATCGGCGATAACGAGCGCGCGGGATGTGCGACATCGGCAGATCGAGGAGTCGAGGATGACTTTCAACAGACGCCAGTTTCTCACTGGATTTGGGACAAGTTCAGTTCTTCTCTCCCTTTAAGTACTTTGATTTCGCTGTGTGTTCCGTCGCATAAGGAATATTCGCCACGATTTTTATAGAGATTTCACTGAGGTTATAATGAGGGAGTTGTAGTATTGATATTTCTTATTGGAACTTCCAGAAATCTCACTGGAAAATGAGATAACTCGGGTGAACATTATAATACTTGTGATGAATGTTTTAGTTAAAATATCAGAATCTCTACTAGACTGATTGCATTTTTTTTTTTAGAATTTTTGTCGAAATTACTAAAAATCTAATATGCTACACGATGATTAGAATTCAAGGTTCGTCGAGGATCACAAACGTTACTAACCACTAGATATGGTCGGCAGTTATAGGAGGAATATAATGGAAGCGTTTTATTCTATTATCCTCTCTCCGAAAATATTACCATCATAGATAAAATTGGAAGATCCACTAAAGCTTCTCGAACTGCGATCCACAATAGAAAATGCATAATTGCAGATTCTTGCACTGTTAGAAATTTCTTGAAATTTCAATCACAGCATCATCTGAATGTTGAATGTTGTGAGGTTGAATTCAATTCCAAATGAAAACGTTCACTCAATTTCTCATTCATCTTGAAAATTTAAGAATAATGGGTTTTTCATGTTAAATAATCATTGATTTTTCAATGAAAGCTTGAATTTTCAAACTCATTGTGAAAATTAAACATCACATACAGTTCAATTTTCAATAGATTGAAAATTCAGAAAAGTTATTACCTAAATTTTTTAAATTTGCAAGGATTTTCAGGGCCGTCTGGACCTGAAAATCGAGGATTACTTGAATATTCAAGAAATTAACTGATTCGTCAATGAAGAAATTTTCGTTTGCGTTTTCGCTTGAAATATCAAGAATAAAACGCTGACATCACAATCTTCAAGATTCGAAAAAACTAACATAAATTTCGTAAATCAATGCATCCAGACTTGTTCTTACAGTAGAGTCGTAGCGAAAAAATTCAAATAAGATAAATTCAACGAGTTATTTACAAGCTCAGCTACTTCCTGAATTCACTTACTGCAAACGACAAAGATCAGCGATTGAGACAGCCAAAATATGCTCCTGTACGGATTTTTCTATTCCATTGACGGTATGGCACTGAAGAATAAACAAACTCCCGTGTTCACGTATCTCTTATCCCCCTCAAGTATATGCTCAGCGAAAAAACTCCTGGAAGTATAAGAGACAAGAAATGTTGTGAGTTGAAACGCAAGACGAAGAGGCAGACACAAAAAACCCCAGAACAATGGCTAAAAAAATACACGCATATATTTTTCAACCTCTTTGTTTGTCCTTTTCGCAAACGGCACAAGGTATTACGCATAATGCAGAGATCGTTCTTCTCTATTTTTTTTTCCTGGCAACTATGTATATACATATATTCGTCGGGTGTCCGTGTTGTCGCATGAGAGGAAACCGAGAGAAAATAACAGAGATGGTGAATCGTACGGACTCTTCTTGTTTCAACCTTACTCTGGCTGGCGTCGCAGCGACATTTCCATTATCCGCACTAGGATTTTCCACCCTGCGGGCAGTTTAACCGTGGTAGGAAGGGAAACAGGAAAAAAAAAGTGCTACCGGGTGAGGTCTCACTTCCCAACCGCGAAAAGGCGAGAACAGTTGTGTTGATTCCAAGTTTTACTCTTGTTTTATGAATTGAAGTTGTCAAAAGTGTTGGACGAAAGGCCCAGCGAGAGGCAGGGGGTGAAAACAATTCCTTGGACACTTCGGTTATGAAGATGATGAAAATAATTTTCCCCTTTTTCATTTGAATGAATGAAGGAGTGGTAAATTAAGTGTATAATGTAAGTTTCCGAAAAATATTTCAAAAGTTGGAGGAGATAGAAGGTTCAAAGTGGGTTCATCTGATAGCCAGGAAAATTTCTGCTGGAAAACTGACCACGATGACCCACTTTGCTCTTCAACTTCGTAAGTTGTAAAGAAAAAAACTTTTCACCCTTAAAAACTTGTATTCCTCTATCCATCCGAGTACCCGAGCCAAATGGGTCGTGATGGAGATTTTCTCACCGAGTATTTCGTAGATTCTCCAGTGATATGATTTTCAATTTTCCACCTCTTCAAGTTTGCAAGGAATCGACGGGAGAGAAAGAAAAAACGGGGAGGACTGTAAACACGGAGAAAAATAAATCGGTAAAAGTCTTGCGATCGCAAGGAGTTTCCCGAAGATCCCCATTTTTCATGCACGAAGAACAATGAAGCTTTTTGGAATCTTCGGGAAATTCCTTGCGATCGCAAGACTTTTACCGATTTATGTTTTTCCGTGAAGGAAAGAGGAAAAAATCGCACAAAAATTACAGGATCAATGATTTTCAAATAATAGATATTCGCTATACAGGCTTTACCGTTCAAGTAGGAGTACCCAAACGCATAATACTAATTATGACTTATTTTTTAATTTTTATACCGTTTTCCTCCCTTTTTTACCCGGAATTAAATTATGGTAGGAACAGAAAACTATAGTCTATTCGACCCAAGCTCATTTTTTCAGATTTAAAATGGAATCTTTTTATAATTTCAATTTTGTGACGGACCGCAGTGACACAATACCTTCAGGCGCCATCTCTTAACCGAGTTGGTCAGAGATGCTGGTCGGTGTAGCGTGTGTCAAATGGCAAATATGGGTAAAAACTAAATAAAATCATTATTTACCGTGAAGAATAGGGTCGATTAAGTGATTGAAATCCAAAAATAGGGAAAGAAACTCATAAAATCGTAGTAAAATTGGTATCCGGATACTGACGCATTGAAAACGCGAATGTCGCTATATACTCGAACGATCCATTTAACCTCACCTGTCAAACAAATTTTCCCGCACCTTATCATGTTTTTTTTTCTATTTCATTGGTTTTATCGAAGTAATTTTCGATTTGAAACCCCTTCTCTAGCCTGCCTCCCCTCCTTACTTTTTCCTCTCATTGTTACCTGCGGTATCATGGCCGTCTTACTCTTAGCTGTGCCCCATTCGAGCTAGGACTGCACGGGAAACCATGTAAAACCCCAGTCGCACAGCCGGCCGATTGTGCAGTGCCCTAATATATCCATCTGTCACACTGACTAGATGGAGACACTAGGTCGCTACACCGTACCTACCGCCCGCAATTTTTGTGCGAGTGAGGTGTTCCTAAGGGGTCACCCATCCAAGTACTAACCCAGCTCAACGCTGCTTAGCTTGGATGTCCGCCGGAGCAACACCTCACCCACCTAACCATTACAGTCGAATTCCGCACTTTATCATCCTTTTCTTCATCAAAATATTGTTCCGAAAATTGAATTTATTGTTTAATGATTGATCTATCACAGAAGAAAATTAAAAAAGAGAAAGGAGCAAAATTATAGTGCAGAGGAGTTGAAGAAGGCACTGGCAGCTCTGATGAAAACAGACTCTACCAAATATCAAAGACGACTCTTTATGAGAAAAATATAGCAATTGTATATATAATTAATTGAATAAAGACTTTAATTAACTCGACACGTTAGAAGAATCATTTAACGTGGTATACGAGCACAAGAAACTGCACCGTTCGGGTTTAGCATCTTTGGTCGTTCGGGTACTGATTCAAGAGCTATTTAACCGTTCGGGTACTGACGTTTCGATCGACTCGTCAATTTTCTTTTACTATTACTCACAGGTGCATAAATTTTACATCAAATTTTTTTTTTTGACATGAGTAATATTGAGTTTTACAAACAATTAATTTTTTTGGCGATTCTACATTTGAATAATGAGAAAAATGCGTTTTATTACTGAAAAATTCTTACACGTTTGGGTAATAGTGCCTCCACGGTAAATGCATTTTGAATCCATTAATCTTGATAAAGCACTGATACCCATTGAAAAATAATAATTTCGATTAAATCGAACTGAAACAGCGGCTGAACAGTCGTCGAAAGTCATTGCGGAAAACTTCGTTAGTGCAGACGAGAGAAACGACGCGACAGAGTGAATAAAGCCGGGGGAATAATGAATCGTACAAGAGGCTGAAGAAAATTGCGGAGTTGAGGACGCTCATCGCTCTTCAACAACTCAGACATCATTTTACAAATGTTTCCAGTATCTATTATTTTGCATCATATTTTTCCGTTTCCGTTTTATTACTCTTTTCCCTTTTTGCTTTAAAATGCACCGTTTTTCGCTGAGCGGAGACTTTTTGTCAGGACAAAGCTGGATTTTGCGTTGGAATTCTAACCCCTTCCCTTACCGCGAATTGTCTCGAAAAAAAAGTCTATACGAAAATGTGTACATGTGCACTACGTGAACGTCGAGACGACGCTTTTCCACTCGTCTGTTTCATCGTTTCAAATATTGTTTTTTTCCCCATCCTGCTTTATTTTTTTTTCTGTTATTTTTCCGAGTCTCATTCGCCTCCTGGGGGTAACTGACGTGCGCATGCATCAGCCAGACATTATAAATGACGTGACAACGATTTCCACGGTGATTACTTTTTTTATTTTCCGCTTCGCACCTCGGGGGAAGTAATTAATTTCATAAATAATTTTCGATTCTGGTGAGATGAGAATAAATATCGGAGTGAATATTGCGGGTGATTAATGGAGAGGGTTTTTTTTTATTAAATAGGATTTTTGAGATATTGCACATTACAGTGACCTGCCTATTGTGATAATTGAAAAAATTCGTTACCTTGAAATCGCGAAAAATTTAATTTTAAGTTATTAAATTCATTGTATACCATCAGGGGCCAGGTCGCCGGACAANAGTGAAAGACGTATAATAAATCGTTTTTTTCTAAAATTAGCAGTTTGAAGGGTCAAGTGTGATCCCTGATCCTTTTTTCTATGGATAGACGTTCATTATTATTTTCTATATAAAGAAATCCCATAAATATTGGAAGAAATAGCAAATATATCCCATATCCCAGTTCGCGGACGCTCAAAACCGCCATGAGCGAGTTCCCGTATATGGTGGACCCAGTCGGCGGATACAGTGTATTGGAGGGGATTAATTGAAGGAAAGATCGGGAATTTATCTTAGAAAGGTATTAAATTCTTGTTTATTATCATTCAACTTGTCATAAAAACCTATTAAAAGTCGAAAATAAGATAACAGTACATAAAGATACTTTCTTTAATTCTTTGATTATGGTCCTTTTGCTGAAACTTTTGCTGGAGGGCTGTGAGCATCTTTCTCCGCTTCAACAGAATCATCAGATAAACATTCTTTTTTTATTTCTCTTGCCACACTTGCTTTTTGGCCCTTGATCGCCCTCTCAAGTCGCTTTCTTTTGATAGCTGTGTTTTTGATGACAACAGTAGGACTCTTCTTTTTAGAATTGACAGATTCTTGTTTCCTCTGTTTCTCTGTCAAGATTTTCTCCTTCTTCAACGACCGGACCAACTTAGCAGCTTCTTTTGCCCTATCTTTCAATTCACGTTTTTCGAGTCTTTCTTTCTTCTTACGTTCCCTCTCTTCTTTTTCGTTGTTCTCTCGTCACCTAGTACACTCTCAGGGCCATGCCTACTTATGACAGGCTTCGATTTTCCAGTTTTCTTGTCGAACAAGGTGGACTTGGGAATATGGAAATTTTTGCTCGCTACTGCCAGGGACATTCCTCCTCCTAAAGCCGCCAAAACCTTCTTCAAATCGTCATTGGTATAATCACTTTTTTTCTTAGGTTTACTCCTAAAACAAATGAACAACAATTGATTTATTTCATATTTTCATGGTTATTATATTCTTTTAATGTTTTTCATCAGCGATTGGAAAGGAATTGGAGAGAGAAAAAACATTTTAAATGGGAATCGAGGAATTAAAGAGAAACGAAGATTTAGGTTATGTGAGTGGGAAAATAGACGTCCGGTAACTGCTGCAACTTCAAATTCGGTGATCCCAGTAACTGAATCAGACTTTTCACTGATTAAATTAATTTTTTATTCCTCCTTCCCTCTTTCGTTCTCTCCTAATGTTACTCCTCAACTACTAAAAACTAATTGAAAACAATTTTATACTTACATTTTGCTTTTCAATCTTACACAGTGTCGATGAAATTTAACCTTTGCCCGTTACACAACACTCAAACAGACCGGCCAACGACACAGCCTGTCATGTAGATTAACTTTTGATATTATTAAAAATTCACAAAATATCAGTTGGTATGGTAATTTGCAGAGAATTTAATTGACATTCAGACAAG